TCATCCATAGTAATCTGTCATCACCTCGTCACAATCGAGCGTTTTTTAATCGTGATATGCTGCTGTTTTACCTGACGTAATGGAGGAACCTACATGTCTTTCTTTCTGAACACTTTGGGCATTTTAACATACTCTTCCCTGTCTCTTGAATAGCCTGGTCACCATGCTTGCAGCTTTAACCTCATTTGCGTAGCCAATATACTTCCATGTATATCTTCCTGCACGGCTTTAATTACTTCTTTTCTCAGAGACAGGGAAGGTACTATGATATCTCCATTAGATATAATTCCTTTCTCTATTGTTAATTTGTGTGTGTCTTGACTTCTCATAACGTCTCTCAACCATAGAGAAATTACCCCATGTATTTCTCTTTATTTTATCCGTAATTCTGTTCAACACTGGATCCTGCCTAGTTACCAACCTAAGCCGATTGAACGGTAATACGTCTGTTTGTATCCATTGCAAAAGTCCTATCCATACAATTTTCACTTGATTCAACATTTTTACTCTCAAAATTTAAACGAGATAATGCAACCACATGCGAAATAGCATTGCACTATATACATACATACATACATACATATATATATATATATATATATATATATATATATATATATATATAATGTCAAATCGAACACTATAAACCTAATCGCCCATCATGGCAGATGTTATCAATCGCCCATCCTGGCAGATGTTACTTTATCAACTCTCTACTGCAGTTGAATAAAAATTCGAAAGGCTTTTCAGATTCTAAAGTTTAATAAAAATTTCCTTTCCAGTAAAATGTTTCTAGCTCTTGCCTCTGCTAAACAAAATCTCCCATGCTCCTTTCTCAATATTCGAATAATTCGCCTCATAAGATTTTAGTTTTCTGAATAGTGATCCTCCTGCGACAATATTGTGACTATAGCACAGTTACTGGCATCAGTAGTTAGCGTCAATTCCTTCCCTGGGTCGAAAATTTTAACAACTGGTTTGTTTATGAGTGTCTTTTTTATTTTTCTTGTTTGTTTATGAGTGCCTTTTTGTCCATTTAATCTCGATATGTTTAATTTCATTAAACGGTTCCGCAAGGTCAATATATCGCGGTAGATTTCTGTTACCGAAATTGGTTAATCCTAAATATGATACTAATTTTTTTTTTATATTTCTGGATAAAGCTATATCTGATATCTTATTAATGACTGTATGACCCGGTAATATACCGTCTTTAGCTATTTGATATCAGATACGACATTTCTTTACAATTAAACTCGCATTTATTGCAATTATTGTCATATCCACTCTAATTAATTTTCTCAAAACTTGCTCATTTTTACTTTTGTGCTCTTTTTTACTGCGCGCACCAATGCCAATGTCGAGCTGATATAAAATAATATTTTTAATCCTTGCTAAAACATTTTCGATGGCTTTTTAGAAAATGTAATTTGACGTTTTGACTCTAATCGGCAGACAAGTCCATCATATTAATCAAATACGGGTTTTCATTGTGGTGACTTCCTGAAATTTGCTACTAATTGTTATCTGAATATATGCCAAGGTCAACTTTAGCAGATTATTTCATAACTGCAATCTCTTGGAATGCTGTTTCATTGTTTCGCAACGGAAATAAATCTGAACATATCAGGTGATTCCTACCCATCTTACAATTGCCACAAATTCTTAAATCTCCATTGGGCTTGTATATCGTCACAATAGGTGAAGCCCAATTTCTACCAACATGGCTGACTTTATCTAATATTCCTTTCTTTAAGCCGAATACTCGCCTTCTATCACCTCAATAATCCAGCATCAGTTTCTACAGACTTCATGGAATTTATCAACTTTGATGTATCCACTCAATTCCTAAATAGTCTTGGCTTTTGAAGTTTTTCATCACTTCGATGGGTATTATCTTGAATCTATTTTTGTCTCAAACGTACTTTCAGAGGATCCTAAAATGTTGATGATTGACGCATCGAGCTGTTTCAACTAGAGATTACTTTTTCTTAACTTTGGTCTACCCATTCTTACACAAGCATACTTCGGTATCAACCTGCATGTGTAAAGTTACTCCATTCAACTTCACCATTTCCCTGTTTTATCCTGTATTATCTTCTCAAATACTTCAGTACTTTCAATCAGAGCATCTATATTTTCCACTTTTTTCAATCGTTTTTTATGTGTGCATACCGTCTGAAAAAGGTTCCTCTTCTTACACTAAAAACACCATTTCCCAAAGGCCGGATACGTATGTTTTTCTCTTTTCATGTTCCTTATTGAAATGTCTGCATACAAGTAATCTTTTAGTAGCATTGTAACATTCACGCTGACTTCGAATGTATTAAATTTTTCAATCAATTCCAATTCCTCTAACGCTTCCAGATTCATGGGAACTTGAAGCCACTCTAGAATTTTACGCTTCTACGAGATTTCAAACATTTCTTTTAACCAGTCTTATCAAAATTAGCTCGGCTTCGATAGATATTTGTTCCTAACCTATTCTTTCAAACTCACAATATATCGATGCTTCTTTCAATCGCTGTATATATTTCTTAATAATTTCGTCCGGTCTCTGTCTACTTTCGAGAAATTTATTTATTTCCACTATGACAAATCTTTTTTTCTTCGAATATTTGATTTTATGATGGCAGCAATTTTTTCATATGCTAAATTTTCTAGTACATTGGGATAGCTCACGATGGATATTTTTTATGGCCTCACACCCCGCTGAGGCCAAAAACAAATCCAAAACTTTCTTTTATCCTCCACTAGCTTTGGTGTCTTTTAATATTTTGACTCTCACCGACGCTAGGCAGCACCTAAGCCAGTTTTCCAAATAGACAGGATCATCCATCTTGATTAAGTAACCGATCGGCGACGCCATATTATTAAAATTATTCTCTCTGACAGATGTAGTTTCGTCAAGAGGAGACAACTCTCCCGTAGTTATAGCCATACTGCCTTTCATACAGTGCCTCATTTACATATCACTACAAGAAACTTTATTTCGACCATCCAATGACAGACATAACTGTAATTTACACTGAATATATGAAAACAAAAGATAATATATTAAATTATATGGTATGATGAACTAATTGCTTTTAATGAAGTACACTCATAAATCGTATTAAAATAGAAAATCGATAAACCCATTAAAAGTCCTTCATGAAAATAACATTTAAAAAAAAATATTATCCCCAAACCTAATTCACGATCGATCTCAAATCAACTAAGAAATTTACTCAAAAAGCATAAACAGCAACAACAACAACAAAAACAACAAAAAACGTCTTAAATCCCAACTGGTCTTAAGAGGTTGATATTCACTTTGGCCTGACTATTCGAAGTGGATGTTTACTGCACAATCTCTTATTATTTTATAACGCTGGGCATTTAGCCTTCCGAGAAGCCTTGATGGTTACTGAATTTAATCGCTTTAAAGTAATTACAAGGCATTTATTTGGCTTGGTTGCAAGAGAATTCAATAAATTATATTCTCCACGCTGAGGTAATAAAATTAGACAGTTTTCATAATAATCTCTTGTAATTCAAATTTAATGATGACGAGGTTGACAGTGAGAAAACAGGTCCTTAATTGCTTAATAACTGCGAACACGTTTGGTATTTCTTTATAAATAAGTTATCTTTCCAATGTGATTTCAAGATTTAATTATAATTTCGGAAGTTAGTTATTAGTAATGTTTATTAATATGTCTGCACGTTTATGGCAACTCTCTGGCGAATGTCGTCTAGGAACAAGTGACAGCAAGTTAATTTGAAATAGCAGTATCATTCGCAGCAGTATTGCCGGCTGCAGATTTGGCATGGTTTGGAGAACTTCAATCATTCCTCGAATGTGTAATCATTCCAGTTTTGCAAATATATATCAAGAGGTTAAAACAGAGTGCGTTTGCCCAGATCTGCGAGTGTGCTTTAAGCATTTTTGATAACTCAAATAATAGTGGGCTCATGGATTGCCGTTTGCTTAAAACATTTCTACAACGGCTTTCTGGGGCATTTATTCCTTCTCTCCTTTTGTTAAAGTGTTAGTATATCACGGATACACTAAAGGTTAATGTGTGCCTTAAAGAATGGAGAAAATAAAATATGTCTTCTCTCTTCTCAAGCACCCTATCATTTGACGTAAATTCAATTTTTCTGTAGAAATACACCTATGTAAGTGTTATGTAGTGGTTTCACAGTGGAGGCTTGTATTTGTACTAAGTCGGTCCTAAAATAGGTTCGACGTACAAAACGTTAGGAACTTGATACAATAGGTAATGACGCAGTAATCTAGTTGGTGTGGCTAATACTTTAATATCCGACTAACGGTCGTCCGACATCGACTGACTGACCAACTGGATATTTAGTCACCCACCCTCCCACGAGGGCATCATGTGGCATAAGGCCGGTTTAACGTGGGTTCTCCGAGCCCGTGGGCCCGGCCAAAAATATGGCCTTTGAACCCGTATAAACGGATTCAGGGTCGGTTTACCTCCCCGAAAGAGAATCCGCTCTTCGGCGTAGCCTCCTTCGGGTTCCTCCCCGCCCGAAGGTAGAGAGTTCAACCGATCAGCCAGTCGACTGACTAACCAACACTCTGCCGACTGCTACTACTACTCCTACTTATTATAGGTGGGAGAGTCTATTAACTATAGAATAGCTGTGTTCCACTATAACAGTAAGAAATATTATTTTTTTTTACAAATATTTTCTTATTTACTCCTGTCGAATATGTACATCTGATCACGAAACTCATATTTTCTTCCTTTTTAAAATTTCTAAATTTTAAGATGAACCTTCATTTTTCTATGAAATTTAATCCCTGTTGCATTGTCAAAACTTTGCGCATATAACGTAATGAAACATATTCTTGTGTTACAACAAATGTTACACACTTCATATATTTTTAAAACAACCAGGAAATAAGAATTTAAAGCATATTCTTGCTTACACTTCGCCTTTATTATTATTATTATTATTATTATTTCCTTTTGATTACGGATATGTCACATTGAAACACCGGTCACCGTACGATCACCAAAGTTAAGCAAAGTTGAGCCTGGTTAGTATCTGGATGGGTGATCGCTTGGTAATACCAAGTGCCGTAAGCTTGCGAGTGAGGGTGGTGTTATGGGCAACGGTCTGGTATTGGAAATCTGAGAGCGGAGTTCAAATTCCAGACGAGTTCGTTATATTTACTTACGTACAAATAACTTTGAGACAGTGATGAATCTACATCTCCCTCCAGCTATGGATTAATTAGTAGAAATTGTATCAGTTAATCATTCTTATCGCAAAAAAAAGAAAAACAATAACTAACAGGCATTTCTGTTCTCAAGAGATCTGAAGAAATTCCATGTATCAATAACATATCCCAAGAGAAATGTTGTAATTTTACGTCTGCCCTTGATTTTTCTTCTCGGTAGCAATACACATTACTTCAAAATTTTGGCTTGCATCTCTGAAATAACTATTTATATATACAGGGTGACCCAAATATTAGCAAGGGGTTTTAAAATTTAATGCCTCTTTTATTTTTTATGTTAATTTAAAATACCATAGTCTTATAGAGAGTAGATAATGAAAATAAATTTACTTTATTTGAGAAAGATTACTGTAGTTGTATTGGTTTAACTAATAGGTAATTAACATAAAGAGAGCCATAAATATAACACACTGGCAACTTTGAAGGGGTCTATGGCAACTAGTTCTAACAAAATGGCGTCTCCTGACGGAGCTCTGTTGAACATAGTAGAACAAGAATACGTAAAAACGTGTGAGAATAAACAATATACGAGATGACCAAATATCTGGAGGACAGAAAGAAATCACGGATTTATTTTTGGCCATTGCTGGATGCGAAGCCATTAACTAGATTTCATTAATGACTAACCCAGGTGAAATTTAAAACTTGATATTTAAGGAAATCAAAGAAATAATATTGAGAAATATTCAACCAAAGAAAAGGGTTGGTCATAGCCGAACAAACCGAATTCTTAGCATTGAGACAAGAATTGGGGAGCTTATAAGGAAATATCTCAGAAGGTTAAGAGATACCAGCAGATACTGTGAATTTCATGAAATGGGACAACAAGGAATGAACGCAGAGGAAGAATTAATCAGCTCCGATATGTAGAAGATCTGTACAACACCTCGCATAGAGAAAAAAGAAAATAGAGCCGTTCTGACAAATGACTTTAGAGGCTTGTAATGATTTCATACAACAAGAGGCATTAATTGAAAAATTACTTCAAATGAAACCCAACCTGAGCCTATGAACACACTTCCGATAAAAAGAACGATGATAAAATGCAGATATTGCGACTATAAAAATGTTACACAGTGAGTAATGTCCTGCATGCGGACAGACTTGAAATAAGTGCAAAAAAGAAAAATCATATTCAAGTCGTATGTATATGGCTCGATTCCAATGTAAAAACTGTCGAAATAATGCACAACGATGTAAAGAGGCAAACAAACCTTTTTTTTTCAATAGAATGGAGAAAAAAAAGAGCACCGTCACAAATATTAAATTAAACGGCATAGACTTAAAAATGCAATATGACACTAAAAGCGAAGTAACTGTTATTCCAAAGATTTTTTTGTACAATTATCGAAACTAAAATTAAAGAAAAGCTTAGTAAGATTAAGTCAGTTTGATGGAACATGTATAAGAATATTAAGGTCCTTTCACGACACATTTGAAGCAAACAATAGATTTTGAATCGTCACTATTATAGTCGTAGAGAGTATAAAATTTTACGGTTCATTAAGAACTCATTTGATAAGTATTAATTGCACATGTTTACTTAATGTTACGAATACGGAAAATCCCTAAACTGCTATATAGCTATAAAGCGATCCTTAAGTTAAAAACAAATATCAATCCATCGAATTTTGAAAGCTGTTGGCTTCCCATTCATGATAAGCTGCATGACACGCTACGAAAAAATGGTGGAAGGAGGCATTCCTCGATATGCAGAACCTGGAAGCAGGCAAATTGGTACTGCCTATTGTGGTTTTAAGAAAACCAGATGGCGATTTTAAAATTTGCGCAGATTACGAAGTAGGCGTGAATCAAAAGATTTATTCGGATTCCTACTGTATTTCAAAAACAGAAAACTTACCACATTCTCTGGCAGCGATGGAATATTTTACGAAAAGTGATATAAATATGCATACCACCAAATTCAAATACGTGACGAATTTAAAGAAAGCACCACAATAAACTTCCCCATAGGCTTACTTAGATGGGCCCACTTAGCATTTGGAATTAAGACAGCCAACTCGAATTTTTTTAAAGACAGGAATGACCGTAAACAATGTGTATATTCAATTGCAAAGAATTAACATTCTTGCGTTACCAATTTTTAGAAAACGTTACATCGCCGGATGCGACGTTAATACAAAAAATATTAAATGTATTTTCTCCAAATAATAACAAAAAATTGGAATCATTTCTCGGATTAGTCAATTTTTATAGCGAATTCATGGCAAAATATTCTGAAAAATTAATGCGTTTTTTGGGCTACGAAAGAAGAATAAAGTGTTTGAATGGATTAGTACACACCAAACAAACTTCATTAAATTAAATCAAGCTCTATATAAATAAAAAAACAAACTGTGGTCAAGATTGTTGATCCTGAAAAGGACGTTACATTAACCACAGATGCTAGTGGGCAATTTTCACCAAAGAAACACACTCGGTGATGTATCTTTCCAGGACATTGACACTATCTGTATTGAACTACTCTAAAATTGAAAAGGAAACACATGTGATTGCATGGCATATAACCAGAGCAAGGCAATTTTTATTAGGAAAATTTTTTGTTGAGATATATATCAAAAGCTCATAGAATTTATATTCCATCCCAGGAAGCAAATGCCGAAAGTTACATCATCCAGAATATTAAGATGGGCTACGATGTTAATGGGTTTTGATTATGACATAGAATACTTGAAAGGACACACACTAACATTCGTAGGCGGATTGTCTCGGCTACAATTTGAAAAGGAACAAAACTAAAAAAAAACAAACAAAAAAACCATGTGGATGAATTGTTGCATTGGGTGGAAACAGATGTGTTGCCGATGAATAGACTAGGAATGTAGTCGTTACAAGATCCAGTCATGTCGAATTTTATCTCGAATAAGGAACAATAAAGGTAATTAATTGTTCAAAAACAGACAGACTATACAAAGAAACCATATACAAAATTTCAATAGAAAATGGTATCATTTGTAGTGGCGATTTAGTCTTACTTCCGAAAAAATATAGAAAGGAAGTAATTAAAAGTATACATGATGAAGTGCATTGTAGAATAACCACTACACAAAAACGGTTAAAGCTGGATGCGTGTTGGCAGGGACACATCCGAGATATGGAGAATTACGTACGCAAATATCCTAAATGTTACGAAATAAAGAATTTTCGCCACAATAAGTTACACACGTGGCCTAAGGAAACAGAACCATAGTCTAGATTTCAGATGGAATACTGATACTTGTTGATGCTTTTTCCGTCCGGTCTGAAGTTTTCCGAGTTCAGGATTAAAAAAAAAGACTATTACTATTATTTTAAAAAATCTATTATAGGAATTATATGTTACGCATAATATTTGCAAGAAATGGAGTACCAAAAACATTAGTAACTGATCATGCTGCCGAATTCTGTAACGAAAGTCTATGCCTGTTGTTAAGGAAGATAGGCTATATCCCGTATAAAACACCTCCTTACCACCCTCAGTCAAACAGGATTGCTGAACGAATAGTCAAAACAGTAAAGATAGGACTGAAAGCATTTACTTCTCAGCAAGAAAAGATTGAACGGTTCCTCCAAGATTAATGTTGAGTTACAGGACGATAAGAAATGTCAACAGATTTGAGAACCTGTTCGTATTTCTTTAGTACAACTGTGGGGATACCGTCGAACTGGAAAGCCTTGTGTTGATCTAGTTTAGGAATCGTAGCAGAAATCATGGTCAAAGTAATGTGCATGACAGTCAGTCAGAGACTCTGTTCTACGGAGGAACTGGACAGAGATACCCCAGATAAATCAAGAAGAGTGTTGGAAGAGCAAATCTCTCTGCTTTATCTGTAGTAGATATCAACACTTCAAAATTATTGAAGGGAGGAGAGGTTCTAGGAAATACTCTTGTTTCGCACAGGGCCGCCAATAATCTGTATAACCAAACATGTGCGAAGCTATATGGTGTCTCATTCTATCAGCAAATAATGACTTTGCTGCTTTGAGTACGCGATTACTTTCATTAAAGACGATGGCAAAGAACGTCTGTTACAATCGATATTGTCAATCTGGTATAACCAGTATCTATTTTTATGATACCCAGGAGGTGGGAATTCATTGGAAGATATTGATTACTTCCGATTTGTTTCAAAGAGAGCTATGAGGTCTGGAGTATGTTCTAAGTGAATCGATTTTACACTGGAGAAAATGGTACAATTTGGCCAATGTTGGAGAAAGTTGCGTTCTTTCATAATAAAAACAGCAGGGAGGAAAGCTTTTATTCGTACATATATTGTTACAGGATGTTTTTTCGGAAGAACCAAGGAGAAAATTCAGTTGTCATTTCCGAGCTGGTATGAAATCTTCTATGTTGGATTTCATCCAGGAAGGGACTTCACAGGCATATTTCTCAACATTATATCACTCCAAAAGGCATCACTAAGAAATTCACGGAATGAGTTCCAATCAGTGTGGTAATAACAGAAAAATGTTTTGTTCATAGGGGTTTCTTGATCAATGGCAACGAGTGGCCAGTTTTTCAAGATAGACAGAGATACAGAGAATATGAATCCCCGGATGGAGTTAAGAAAGAGATCAACTGAAGAAGCGTGTCAGTCCCACTTACTAGTATGATGTCTACTATTTCAGATAGAGATTCAGTAATTGAGAAGTTTAGTGTCTTGATTCAAGCGAGATCAGTTGCGTTAGAGTGATGAAGTCACTTGATAAGATGCGCATTAAAGTCGTCGAAACCAAAGATATTTGCAGATATTTTTTAGAGGCGGTGTTATCTATACTATCTGACATTCTAACAAGGAATAGTCATGACTGGAAACGGAATGATAAATGCATAGATAAGATA